AAATTATGCATTGTGGAGAACATTTCAAAAATTGGGAAACCTATTTCCAATTATATGTCTGTGTGTAGTAAGCACTACTCAGAAACCGATTAAGAAGGTAATTTCATATTAAGAAAATATTTTTATGTTCAATCTATTTTTAATGCATTTTTTCATTCAAGGGAAATGGAATCCTGATGCAAAAGTTCATTTTGACAAAAGGCTTCAGAAAAGTACCTCGAAAATGGTTTTTTTTAGAGCGATTTAATGTGCGCAAGACGCGTTGAAAATGTTTTGTTGTGTCCATGAAAAGGCTTTAAAAAGAACTAGGGAGAAGGTAGTTTTGTGACATATCAAGGACATCTCGATAATTGCCGCCTGCGGCGGACATTGGCTGTTCTACAATAGTTCTATTCATGTGTGAACAGAACATCGCAGTGGAGGTTCAATGTCTCGAAATCTCGTACTTTTAACATCTCTGAGATGTTTTTGTGCTCGCTGGGGTGTTAGCGAAACATATCGTGTGATTAAGAATTTCGTGGAAATCTCATCGTTTGCGAAGTTTTTGCATTCGATAACTGATCAGTCGAAAAATTGACAAAATATTGAAATTTTTCACCTTTGAGTTAGTCATTCAAATGGATCAACAGGTGACGACATCAGTTGTTTTTTATTTATGTATGGGAATAAGACTTTCCCTTTAAAAGTGCCCAATTTGGCGCACCCTGTACATAGATTTTTTTCTAGAGTTGTTGTGTGCTACCTACTTTACTATCATCTGCTGTATGATGATCTACCTACCCAATATTAAAATCCTGTCTTCATGGAAGTCGTAAATAGGTAAAAACTTCTTGACAAGAAATCACCTACTTTCATTCAGTTTCATGTTAATTAACCTATTGATTACCCTTGGAAGGAAGCGATAAGGTAATGTAATTTGAAAACCTTCTAAAATGGAAACCAATTAATTCAAATTTCATAAATTGGAACATAAAATCAATTTTTCACCTAATTTTACTGTAATGATGATGTAAGATATTATGAGCCATTCCGCTTATAGTAAAACCAAAACCTCGAATTTATTTTTTCAACAACTTACACCTGAACAGCTCCTCGAGATCTTCAAAGTATATTGATACGGCATGTTTGATACTGTTCCCACATATAATGGGGTTCAGCACCCAAGCATACGATGATGCTCTTAGATTCTTTCCAAATACGAGCTATTCGCCTGGCCGGTGATGCCACACTAACAAATTCTTTGACATCATCGAAACACCGTTAAAAAGTCGGCAACCTTTCACTTTTCGGCAAATACTTCCACGGTAAATGTTTTTCAGAAATCTCTGCTATCATTCCATTACTAGCAATACCAGTCAGACGTACTCGACAAGCCCAGTCAGCACACGTTTTTGTCGTCAATCTCATAATATGCCGAACAAGTCTCTACCAAAACTCGTGTGTCTATAGAACCTCAAATCTTTATATTTTTTGCGAAATGGAGTATTTCCAAGACCTGATAATCTCCAGAAGTTTCAATACCTACCTTGGTACATTATGAGGTTCCCCGACCATTACAGGGATTACCTTTCGTGCGCTCCAAGAGACTAAAAAAAAGTTGGTCAAAATGAAGAGATTCACTCTGTACGTGTTTTAAATGGATCACTTATAGGATTCACGTGACACGACTAGCGAAGCAATCTCAGCTGCGCGACCAGATATTATAACTACAAACGGGAAACACGGGTTGGAAAATAAACAGATTTCCTCATATGTAGACATTAACAACAGGCTCTGAAATTTAATTTCAAGTCGGATTTAAACTGCGGAATTTTCCAGCATTTTCCAACGTATTTCAACCTCATCACGAAATACCCGAATAGCAATTATAAGTGTTGAGATTACATCCGAAACTCAACCTTAAAGCAAAGATTCTTAGAGCAAGGCACAACGAAAATGACAGTCCAAGATCTGGTCCAAGTCAATTGTGCATTTGAAATAATGCTTTCATAATTTGCAATAATATAATTTATTCACGACCGTTGTATAAAATATTCCTAATACATGAACTCCGTCAACCAAAATGGTAGCCATTTTTCACACTAGTGAATAATAGCAGTGAATACCCAGCAAACATTGAACTAGCGGGAGAAGTTCGGCCTAGTGTAGGCTAGTCTGGGAAAGTGACGATGCCGGGGTATTGGTAATGGGCCGATGATTTTCCTATGCCAAGTAACCATCAGTAAAAAATACGATGATGGCCTTGTGATGGTAAGATGTCTAGAACTAATTGAATACTAACGGGATCTGGCCCTTTGCTGGCCAATTTCATGTTCGCTACTCATCCCCCTGGTGAATGTTTTGGGAACGTCTACATCAACAATCAGCTGATCAATATTATATGTGACTAAGATGACTGACTCTCGTGAGTGGTGATCGCGTACTAGTTTGTTTATGTCGAATTAATGTGGTCCTCTCTTTCCCTGGTGGTTATTTATGATGGCAGGAGTATTCTCAATTAATAATAATAAAAGAAGGATTCTTCAATTATGATTATATTGAGTGAGTATGAATCTACCTATCTCGTTACCTCATATACCTAATGGTCATAATAATTGGAGTTGGCTATACTTTTCCAGAAGCAACTATCATTTTTAACTCGTTTGTTGCTATCGAAAGCAATCTTACGTTAAGTGAACCTTTCTCTATATTGAAGTACTGTATAACAATGAGGTTTCAGCTACAGAAAACACCTTTGCCAAGAAAATAATGAGAATTGAGAAGCTCCATGTTATCACGACATCAGATTATATTATCAAGTTATAAACTCATGCAACTCATAGGCCACTAATATATAAGTAATGATGCATTGTATATACAGAGTGGGCCTTTGAAAACGAAACAGAGGCTCTGTAGGTCGCCAAAACCGGATTATGAAAAGAATATGAAACACGTCAACTACGTTTTCGAGGGGGACATCGTCCTACAATATTTTCAGCCCTGCGGCGTTGCCGCTGCTAACGAAAAGATGCAACAACTTTGTTATTTCAAATGGAACACCTTGTATTTCATTGCATTTTTAGATTCTCCCCGAAGAGCTGATTTCATCAATACATCATACTTGGGGTCTAGCTGTAATGGTTTCAGGGATATAAAGTGTTCAAAATCGAGATTTTTCAACTTTGACATTTTTTTGTGTCGAAACTATTCATTATTGGTCGAAACGGCTCTCATGTCTCTATCTCAACTTGTGATTTACTATCTACTGACATTTAACTGGAACAGATACAGGGTGATCAGAATTCTGAATCTTGAACCACCCTGTATTTGTTTCAAATAAATGTCAGTAGATAGTAAATCACAAGTTGAGATCGGGACATGGGAGCCGTTTTGACAAATAATGAATAGTTTCGACACAAAAAAATGTTAAAGTTGAAAAATCTCGATTTTGAACACTTTATATCCCTGAAAATATTACAGCTAGACCCTAAGTGTGATGCATTGATGAAATCAGCTCTTCGGGGAGAATCTAAAAATGCAATAAAATACAAGGTGTTCCATTTGAAATAACAAAGTTGTTGCTTCTTTTCTCTAGAAGCGGCAACGCCGCAGGGCTAAAAATATTTTAGAAATATGTCCCCCTCGAAAATGTAGTTGACCTGTTTCAGTTTTTTTTGATAATCCGGTTTTGGCGACCTTCAGAGCCTCTGTTTCGTTTTCAAAGGCCCACTCTGTATAAGAAGTACCTCACAACGAAGAATCAACTTTGAAGGAATGCTACCCAATAAGATGTAGATACCACATACCAACCAGTAAGCAGTCACTCCAAGAAGTTTCATCGTTGAAGAACAGAGAGGTTAAGAAGATATCATTGTGTCATTCATAAAATTGTCTGCCTGGAAATCTGGTATGTGTCTGATGTATGATGAGAGGGTTATATTGTGAAATAAAGAGGTACTAGAACTTTCAGATCCATTGGACCCCTAAAACCCCAACCCCTCCCCTACCTCTATAGTATATGTAACCAATGTCGTTAATAATTGGCCCTTACAGTCCCATCATTTATGTATATGCTGGGCTTGTTATGGGAAACTCAATGTGTCGATTATGTTGTACTGGCCTTTGACGGGAAACTGATGCTATGATTGCTGAGTACCCAGCACTGGGACCAGCTGCCGGCCGCAGTGTACTGATATATAGAGTCCCGTATATGGAACCATTTACTGGTCCGCTGATGTCAGGTATGGGAAAAATATATTAGGCCATGCATTGATGCCCCATATCAAAATTTTTGCTGGGTATCCATAATTCACAGGTCTAGAGTTCCTAGGGTACGCGATATGACATAATAAGGAACTTCAGACCAGTGAATAGTGGTTATTTACCGCTATTATTCACTGATGTGAAAATGGCTGTCGTTTTGCTTGAGGAAGTACAACAGTCGTGGACAAATAATTAGTATAACAGGTATCTTCAATTTTTAGTTTTCCTAATGTCAAATGAGTTATGATAAAACAGTTGTTAGAAATTAATTTATATATCATAGACAATAGTAGTCGTAGAGAAACTATAGTATTTTACTCGCATATGATGAGCTATTATTCACTCAGGTTAATTATGACACTCGCTACGCTCGTGATATGAACTTAACCTCCGTGAATTAAAACCATCATTATATGCTTGCTATTAATAGTATTAATCATTCAAGAACTTAGATAATGATTAATGAAAAAGGCCCTCTATTCCTCAGCACTTGACGTAACACTTGTTTTATAGATCCCCCTTGAGTATTCCTTCTAAAAGGAGCCATCACAATTGGCAACAGTGTATAATATCAATGTTCTATGACCAAATTTGTTGTTTCATGTCACGTGTTTGTCACAAAATGAAGAATGTCAAATTTTACAGAAAAAATCAATTTTTCACTGTGGACTGACAGGTGTGGCGATTTATCGCATTAACTATATTGGTAAATAAATGAATAAACGGCTATTTTTTTTTTGGTGTTCTGTGCTACGCACCTGCCCGAAATCCGCCCTGTCGCCCTCGCCGATCCTGTAGGCGAGCGACGTTGCCAGCTGCGCCACCGTCAGCACCGCCGCCACCGCCAGCGCCACCTGGCGCGACAGCGGCAACATCGTGTGCACCGCGAGCAACAGCGCGAACATCGGCAACGGTGCATGTCTGCTAGCCAATAGCAGAGTGACAGCGGCAGCGACCACTGTAGCCGCCAGTGAAGAGAGTAGCGCCCAAGCTTCAGCTTCGAGGATGACGGGGAACTGAGAGGCCGTGAGGATGAGGGTGAGAGAGGCAGCTAGGACTGACATGGCGGTTATGGAGGTGGTGCTCTTGTCCAGGTCCTGGAAAACAAATAAAAAATACAGAAACAAGACACGACACTAAGTCATCTCCACAAAGGACCCCGCACCATTTACATTGAAATCTTGTCTACGGTGAAATTTTGTAAAAATCTAGGATTGGATAAATCAAAATCATGCTAAAATAGTGAAGTACGTAGTTTTTGAAAGGTATCAGATTAGTATAGATGTAGTTTTCATTAGGTTTTAGATTAGACGCTATAAAAGCAGATGATATTTTTTCATTGCTCATGTAAGATGGAAGTAGAGGCCATGGCACCATATCATGAGCATATTTTTATATTGAAACTATCATTGGGCACCAAACATGTGTATACGACGCTATGAAAGTTCAGAGAACTGGAGATTTTTCCCACAAACTACGTACTTAGCCCACTCGACTGTCTTGGTTTTTCCACACAAACTACGTACCTAGCCCACTCGACTGCCAATAGGGACTAAAAAAACAAAAACAAAAGAAAGTTAAAACAATGCCGACATATTTCTTCTTTATGGGAAATCAAGACAGTCGAGTGGGCTAGGTACGTAGTTTGTGTGGGAAACAATCAAGACAGTCGAGTGAGCTAGGTACGTAGTTTATTGGCGTAAAAATCAAGACAGTCGAATGAGCTATGTACGTAGTTTATTGGCGAAAAATTAGGACAGTCTAGTGAGCTAGGTACGTAGTTTATGGGCAAAAAATTAAGACAGTCGAGTGAGCTAGGTACGTAGTTTATGGACAAAAAATTAAGACAGTCGAGTGAGCTAGGTACGTAGTTTGTGAGAAAAAAATCAAGACAGTCGAGTGTGCTTTTTTACTTTCTTTTGTTTTTTGTTTTGTTTTCTATTGGCAAGTGATTATCTAGGAACTTGTAAATTTTTTAGTTTTTTTATCGTATCTCCCGAACTATTGAATTCAGAGAAAAATGTTATACGGATTTTTTGTAGATTCTATCAAAAGGAATAATATTAGTTCCATAACATTTTCAGATATTATCAGTTGGTTTAGAGATATTTGGAATTATCTGAGAATAAAATTTTCAACACTTTTGTTCCATCTTGCAATCAACAAAAGGAAAAAATATTTCATGGTTCAGTGGAAGTCGATGAGCTTCATCTATCGATAATCTTTGTTTTGTTCAGCATTTTTTGATCTATCCAATCCCAGATTTTCGCAAAATTTCACCGCAGACAAGATTTCGATGTGAATGGTGCGGGGTCCTTTATTATCAAAATTATCTGAACATGTTTCGGACTATCGTTAGTCCATCATCAGCGGTATGAATCATGAAATTTCTACGAAGAAAAGTTTTTTTATGGTTTACCTTTGCTTACGTAATTACAGACATGGAAGTGAAAAGAAAGGAGCAACAGCAATATTTTTTTCATTGATGACAGGAGTATGTCAACAAATCATAATTCTTAGATGTCAGTTCGTTATAATTTGAGTTATATTATTATAAGGGAGATTGTGTATATGATGAAGAATGGCTGATGAGGATTTGATATCCGAAATGAGTTGATTCGAGTGAAGTCATATAACCTGTTTGTGAGAGATATAATTGCCATATCACTGATTCGAATGATTTTTTGGAAGTTCCAAGCTCATCAAGATCAGAGTTCATACAAATATACTTCTCTTAAACATTTCAATTCTCATTTCAATACTAAACATGTTCGTAAGTTATATTTTTATATCATAATACATCATATTATTTTATCCGATTTGAGAAATAATGTCAATTCTTATTTTCAGAGGATTTTCATTTTTCATGATCTATTTTTTTATGTTCAAAAGATTTAATTCAATGTTCGACGTGGCAAATAGCCAGGAAAGTAGTTGTTTTCTGTTGAATATCCAGAATAATATTATGTGCATATACATATATTTATATGAAGGAGAATGCAAATTCTCTACTTGAGAAGATTTTGTTTTCAAATTCTTATCGTGTGTGTTCAATAGATATAATTCAATGTTCATCGTGGCATATAGCCAGGAAAATAGTTGTGATGTTCTGTTGAATAAACCGAGAAAGAATTGATATTTTCATCACATAGAGAATGCGAATTCTCAATGTATTTCTTTATATATATACAGGGTGTCCGCTAAAAGGAGGTCAATCCATTAACCATATATTCCTTGAACAAAAACAATATGAGTTTCTGAATACCATTTTTCATTTTAGCCCTTCATATTCGATATCAAAGTTCGAAATTAAAAACTGTTTTTTTTTTAATTACTCGCGTATTTAATAAGATATCAATCTCAAAATTGGTACATTACTTCAGCACAAAGAGTTACATCGTGTGAGGAGAACAAAACAGAAAATAACTGTCAAATATTCGAATACTGGGGGTCAATTACACACTTACCCCCATATTTTTTGTACGTGCGCTAATGACTTTCTATCTATTTTTCTCCAAGTGTTCAATCATTTTTGAGTATTTTTGGTCTCTTGTAAAGTTTCGATAAAATCATTTGTTTTTGAGATATTTCGAGTACTGGTTATTGTTTGATGCCTATGCGGCTTACGGTAATCTCATAATTTTCACATTCCTATTTATTTCGTCGAAATTGGAAAAGGGCGTAACTTTTTACGTGCGAAAAGGTTAATATGGAAATACCGGGTATTCAGAGCGAATGTATCGAAATAATTTTTACAAAAAAAAATTATAGAAATTTAACACGTCTAAATGAATTGCTCGATATGACCTCCAATTTTTTGTATACACATGCGAGCCCTTTTAATTTAGGAAAATCTTATCCTTTCAAAAATATGTGGCTTATACACAAAATCTTTCATACATCCCCAGACAATCCTGATCTGCTATTCCTTTCATCAAGTAGCTATTAAAATCATGGATATCATAATTTCACCTAATATTTCCGAAAAATTTTTTTTTTTCGATTTTATTTCCTGTTCGTTCGCGCCCAACATACCCTGATCGTCAACTTTTTTGTTTGAGAAACGTTCAAATCATGAAGAAAAAAGATGAATGTGGTGTACCCAAGCCGGTTCTTGCTCAAATGGCACTCAGCAATACTGGAAGATGTCATTATATAGTTCACTCATACATATTATTATAGTGGTAGAGTACAGTGGCAGAATTCGTTTCTTGCTTTCATCAATCATTAGATAAGTGATATTATAGCGTTCAAGCAAGGAGTATATTATGGTTTTCAGTTAATCTCCTTTTGCTCACCTCATAAAATCAGCACGTTCTTCAGATTGTTTAATGACTCGGAAATATGCAACCGCATCGGTATGCTTTGTGGCATCTCGAGATATTATCTCTGATCGAGACAAAGCGCCTAAAGTACCTAGCTAATGGAGTGTCTAAACCTCATGTCTGCTGATACCCGAGCGTGCGGTAATGGGACTATTACCAACTTATTTATATGTGCATTAATACAGGAAAGAAGAATTAAACTTTGACCTCAGCATGACTAAGCTTGTCCATGGTGTTTCCAAAGTATTGAATACTGTGAAAAATTCATATTAATTTTGAGAACTACCATGATATTATTGAAATGAATAGAGTTTTTATTCAACTAGGAGAAAGCCCCATTACCTTTGAAGAGGTTGGGATGTATGTTTTCAAAATGCGATTTGCTCTAAAACGGTACAAGGTATCGATTGAGATAAAGTATACTATTTTTGTTGGGAAAAGATATAGGGATCAAGCGGTGAAATACGAATACGTCCATCAAACGGAAAAAATTCATCTCATCCTGTATAAAATATAATCACTGAACAGCCGTTCACATATCGGAAAGAGAATTAGTATCAGTTAATTCAGTTTTCCACATATCATTATCACCCTATACCTGCACGCAATTTAGTTTGAGAAGTGTCATTTTCCCACACTAGTGCGGAAATAGTATATTGTGAACCAAGTGGGAAAAGTTCATCTTTTCTCACGAGTGTGTAAGTTTGTGACACAAGCCTGAAGGGCGAGTGATGCAAATACACGAGTGAGAAAAGTACTTTTCCCCACATGTTGCACACTATATACTCTTTCTACAACTGCACTTATTCAAAGAATCCGAAGTAATGTAACTTATTGATATTCGTTTCATAATGTGACGCTATGCCACATTGAATATTGTGACCAAAGAGTAGACGCTTTTCCTAGTACCTACCTCAAAGTATTTCAAAAAAGTACACTTTCCGAAAAAAAAAAATTATTTTTCTGTATTTTTTCAGATTCCATAAATTTTTTGTACCAATATGCCAATTGATACTTTTTTCTTGAAATTTCCGGAAACAACTCCAACTTTCGCAGCTTTTTCCATTATCTCTGTCTCTGGCGGTGTATTTATCAAAATCGTCACATCTCGTTATATACATCATATTATTCATTATGAATTGTTGGAATAATATTTGATGGAAACTGCGATTTCTATCAAAAGCACTAATGAGAACTACTCTAAAGAATTCAAAAAACTTCATCTGACAGTTGTGACAACTATTCAAAGCTGAACAGCAGCCAAGTATTGGTCGGTTTTTCTTGATTCTCCATGGAAATGTATGTGGTGTTGGCAGTGCCGTGAGAAAAAATATTTCTCACAGTATGGACAATACATTGGTTTTGAAACTATGAGAAATGCGCTACTTTTCATAGCAGTAGTAGAAAAAAACATTTATATAATATTCTCGCGAAATATGAGTGGTGGGTGACACAATATGAAAATTTCAGGGTGTTTTGTTGCAGTATTTAGTGAGTTTGTGCAAAATCATCCATCAAATTGCAATATTTTTTGTGAAAATGAAGAGATATTGAAAAATAATATTTGATTGTTATATAAATCCCCATATAGCCTTCAATTCATTTCATGTGGAAAACAATTGATGTCATGTCAATCAAAACATAAATTAGTTAGTGTAATTCTCAGAGTGACAGACAGAACGTTACTGCCATTTTCCTGTCCTGTTTATATAGAAATGACGCTAAATTATGTAGATATTGTGCCTATTTTCCGAAAATGAAGGTTTTTCGAA